CTGAGCAGACTCAATTCTGTCTTCATTTTGGTTGTGATTTCCATCGGTAAATCTTGTCTGATTGTGCTGGTCTTAGTATGGACCTCTTAGTTCAGATGGAAGCTGGAAAAGGAAAAAGATCAAATCTTTGATGTAGTGAAAGACTTTGGCCTCAGTTGTAACGCTTTGGTGGTTGGTTATTTGTCCTCTTTCTCAGGGATGCTGATTGGAACCGAGCCTTCAATTTTTCGTCCAATCTGGATTTCTTGTCCAATTGCATTCTACAGACTGGGGGTATGTGATAAATGAGTCAAGCCATCTATTCCAATGAAGTTTATTGGATCCTCTACTGATTAATTCTGTTTTTGGTTGCACAGGAGACATGATGCGGCGCATATGTACAGCAGCAGAAATGAAATTCTACTTCGACACGATGTTCAGCTCATTCGAGAACCAGAATAAATCATCAGCAGTTAAGGGTCCCAACTACCTGAAACCTAACTTGAACTGCAATTTGACGACATGGGTCCCTGGCTGTGAGCCAGGATGGGCTTGCAGTGTTGGTGGGACTCAACAAGTTGACCTTCAAAACTCCCATGATATTCCTGCTAGAACTAGCAGCTGCCAGACCTGTTGCGACGGGTTCTTTTGCCCTCAAGGTCTTACTTGTATGATACGTAAGTATTTATGGAGCTTTTATCTCACTAGACACTGTTGTTTGTGGCTCTTGATTTCTCACACTTCTTTTGTTGTCTGTCTCTATTGTTGAAGCTTGTCCATTGGGTTCGTATTGCCCGCAGGCTACTCTCAATAAGGCCACTGGTGTATGTGAACCGTAAGTGTCTGATTTCCTTCAACCCATCTGGTTCCTATATATAATGATTCCTTAACTGTATCAAATTGGGATGTTAATCTGCAGATATAATTATCAGCCACCCCCAGGGCAACCCAACCATACCTGTGGGGGAGCAAATCAATGGACCGACATAGCCACTAGCAGTGAGATATTCTGTGCTGCGGGGTCATACTGTCCTACTACGATTGAGCAGACAACTTGCAGCAGTGGGTATTACCCTTTCACCAATGTTTGTTTGTTGCTTTAGTTTTGCCTACTTATCATTCCCTGCTGAAAGTTCAAAATGCTTTGGAATGGTTGCAATAGTTTCCTTTTACTGATGCGTTTTCTTGGTGCTTCAGACATTATTGCAGAATGGGTGCCACATCTGAGACACGTAAGAGTTTTCTTCCATCGCTACTAGCTCAGCTAATGACTGTTTACTATAGACATGTCGATAAGTTCATATTTCCGCTTCCATTTTATGGTTTCCCTAATATGTTCATTGTATTTTATCTGCAGGTTGCTTCAAATTGACAACATGTGATGCCAAAACGACAACCCAAAATATTCACGCTTATGGGGTCATGGTGATAGTAAGTTGTTCACTTTTTGCCCCGGAATTTTTATTTTACAGTTTAGACATTTACTGTATTCTGAGATTATCTGAACGGAGATAGCTAATGCAAATAGAGATGCTTTCACAGGTTGCTTTAATTACTGTGCTGCTCATGATTTATAACTGCTCTGATCAAGTTCTGGCCATTCGAGAGAGGAGATTGGCAAAATCAAGGGAAGCAGCAGCGAAAAGTGCTCACGAAACAGCAAAAGCACGTCAAAGATGGAAATCTGCAAAAGGTGCTGCTGCAAAGCGTGCTGGTGGATTGCAGGCCCAGCTCTCTCAAACATTTTCCAGGAAGAAATATTCTGCACCTGCAGAGCTACCTATGATTCCGAATGAAGCCAAGACTGATGAAGATAATGATGATGAATATGTTACTGCTCGATCAAGCGTTCGACATCCATCTGCATCCTCTACACCACCAAATGGAAATCGAAATGAAAATTCATATGCACCTTCCCAACTAAGTGCTGCATATCCATCTCCTTCCTTTACCCCAGAAATTGGAAAGAAAAAGGAACAGTCTCATCATGCCCATTCGACGTATCAACTTGACATGGAGCCTGATAGTCATGCAAGTTCAACATTTGAGATGGATCATAAACCGAAGGGAAAGGATTTGGATACAGACAGCCAAATCTTTAGGTATGCTTATTCACAACTTGAGAGGGAGAGGGCCATGCAGCAACAAAACAAGGATCTCACCTTCTCAGGAGTAGTTGCAATGGCTGCTAACCACGAAGTCAAGAAAAGACCTCTGATTGAGGTTGCATTCAAAGACCTGACCTTGACTTTAAAAACCAAAAAGAAGCACATTTTAAGGTGTGTGACTGGGAAAATCAAACCAGGGCGTATTACATCTGTCATGGGTCCATCAGGAGCGGGGAAGACAACCTTCCTCTCTGCTCTAGCTGGGAAGACAGCAGGATGTAAAATCTCTGGTATGATTCTTATCAATGGGAAAAGTCAATCCATCCACTCATATAAGAGAATCATTGGTTTTGTTCCACAAGATGATATCGTGCATGGGAACTTGACAGTTGAAGAGAACCTCTGGTTCAGTGCACACTGCAGGTAAACAGATTTTTCTTGGTTCAACTAAATTAGAGATTCCATTGTTCTTTGCTGCCTCTGTATCTTACAATGAATACTTGGCTTTTTCCGAAGGCTATCAGCTGATTTGCCTAAGGCGGAAAAGGTTCTAATTGTTGAAAGAGCTATAGAATCTTTGGGACTACAGGCGGTGAGAAGTTCTGTTGTTGGGACTGTGGAAAAACGAGGAATATCTGGAGGACAAAGGAAGCGTGTAAATGTTGGACTAGAAATGGTTATGGAACCTTCTCTTTTACTCTTGGATGAACCCACATCTGGTCTGGACAGTGCATCCTCGCAGTTGCTTCTTAGGGCACTTCGTCGTGAAGCTCTTGAAGGTGTCAATATCTGCATGGTTGTTCATCAACCAAGGTAAGGCCACTTACACTATATATATAAGAAACATTATTCAGCTATTGCATATTTCTATAGGGTTGTTTTGTTGCCATGTCGTACTTAACTATTTATCCACGTACTTCAACAATGCCTGTATTATGTATGGAAGGATTGTAAAAAAAAAAAAAAGACTGATGAGCCACTATCTTGAAATCATAGAAGGTTACAAAGTTTTCCAGAATACTTGAAGTCATATATTCTAGAAAAATATGGGTAATGAATTGCATAGTTTTCGTACCTAAGTCATCATACAGGAAAAATTATGTATTGTTAGAAACCATGAATACCGGAATCAATGGGAACTATGCATGGTTACCATAACTTACCAAACAACCCTTAAGTTAATGCTGCCACTTTTTTTCCCTCTGTTTGTAGCTATACCCTGTTCAAAATGTTTGATGACCTGGTACTTCTGGCAAAAGGAGGACTTACTGTGTACCATGGGTCAGTTGCCAAAGTCGAAGGGTACTTCAATGGCCTTGGGATTAAAGTGCCGGACCGCGTGAATCCTCCAGACCATTACATCGACATTTTAGAGGGTATTGTTACGCCCAGTGCAAGCACAGTGGCGAACTATATGAACCTTCCTCTTAAATGGATGATGAATAACGGATACCCAATTCCACCCGACATGCAAGAGAATAATACCCCAGGAATTGTTATGCCTCCTCAAATGAATAGAAATGTCAGTGTGTTGCAGCTTGGTGATGGGGATGAAGACCAGTCTTTTGCTGAGGAGTTATGGCAAGATGTGAAGGGTAATGTGGAGTTGCAGCGCGATAAGATTCGTGATCACCTTTGGATGCCAAGAGACTTGTCAAACCGAAGGACCCCAGGTGTATGGAGTCAGTATAGATACTACCTTGGCAGGTAACCACCTCACTGTTTTATTCATTTCTATCTTGACATTTACGTAAGGGTATAGGATATTGGTGCTCTCCCAATAACTCTAGTTATTGGGATGAAATGGTTCTTCACCGAGATTGGACTGAAGTCCTAGCTTCCAATATCATTTACTTTCAGCAGAATTATCTTAAAGTAATGTGGAGAATAAGCTAATGTTGGACTTCACAATATTATCTTTCAGAGTCTTCAAGCAGCGACTACGAGAAGCCAAAATGCAAGCAGTGGACTTGCTTATACTGTTCCTTGCTGGAGCTTGCCTTGGATCGCTTGGAAAAGCCAATGACAAAAATTTGGGAGCTTCTGGATATTCACATACAATCATTGCAGTTTGTAAGCAGGATTTAGCGCATAATTTCCCCTCTTTCCCAGCTTCATCAATACATATGTCGCTAACTCAATTCATCTGTTGGGATTTTGTCAGCCCTCCTTTGCAAAATAGCAGCTTTGAGATCATTTTCACTGGACAGACTACAGTACTGGAGGGAGAGTGCCTCTGGGATGAGCAGCTTGGCTTACTTTCTAGCCAAGGATACTGTCGACCATTTCAATACAGTGATCAAGCCTGTTGTGTACCTCTCCATGTTCTATTTCTTCACCAACCCAAGATCAACCTTTGCCGATAACTACATTGTTTTGCTTTGCCTTGTCTACTGTGTTACCGGCATGGCCTATGCTTTGGCCATCTTTTTTGAAGCAGGGCCTGCGCAGCTGGTGAGTATGATTATGAACGACTGATGTCACATCTTCAAAGCTCAAAAGATGGCAACTTTATTTTAGTTTGACATATGAGCTCTTATCTTTGCTGCAGTGGTCAGTTCTTCTTCCTGTGGTTTTAACTCTCATTGCAACCCAGCAGCGGCCGAGCAATATCTTGAAGTTCATATCTAACTTCTGCTACCCTAGATGGGCTCTAGAAGCTTTTGTCATTGCCAATGCAGAGAGGTATGATTGACAATAAGATTCCACTTATGCAAGTATCTGAATCTGAGACAACTCAGAACACAAGAGTAGCATCAGTAGTTAATAATGTTTGTGTTGTGGTCATATAGGTACGATGGAGTATGGCTGCTTACTCGCTGTGGTGCCCTGATGAATAGCGGCTATAATGTCCATGACTGGCTTCTTTGCATATACATCCTCCTCTTCTTTGGTGTAGTTTGTCGCATTGTGGCATTCTTTGGTTTGGTGACATTAGGCCGGAGGCGGTGAGTTGACAGGCAGAAGTGCATATTCTATGTTTAGCCATTCAATTGATTCGATGAAGTATCAGGACTTATAGATAGCAGAGAATTAGAGGGTGTGAATTATTTATTCTCCTTTTCCCCAACAGAGAAACGGTTTTTTGTACATCTATAGGAGCTTACACATGACAGGAAAAAACTTCTCCAATAGCAAGTCCTCAGTTGTTGTACATTGTGTGTAAACCCATATGGTAGTTACTCTATTGTATCCTGTATGATCTTTCATGATCAAACATCTAACTAAAGATCTTGAAACTTGAACATTATCTACATGAAGTGTTACATACACATTGACTCAGAGTTCGAACCATCAAAACATCATACGAGCTCTACAAAGTCTCTGCAGACTGTGTCGATAGCATTCAGCTCTTCCTGCAATTGCTTACTATCAATTGATGTTTCAAAGTTGGTCATGGTACGATTTAATTCCGACTCTTTGCTTATGATCATTTCCATATGATGTCACCGATGAATTTGAGGGCTGGAACGCCTCTGATCTCTACATCAACCAGGGGAGCTTTGATCAATCTCAAGGTAGACAGTTCTGGATCATCCTGGATCATATCAAGAGCACGCGCCTGATCCTGAGAAGTTGATGAAAGTAACAGCTTTTGTCAGTAACATGGGCCTACTGAAGCTTGGATTTTATGAGCATATCTAGAGAAAGTTAAATCTCATTACCTTCCTTCTCATTGCACAAAATTTGCAGTCAGAGACAGATGGTGGAAGAAGTTGATTTACAATTAGCCTTTTAACGGGTACATTCTCCTTCTCTAAGGAGGCACGCAATCTAGATGATTCACTAACTGCCATTACCTAGGGACAGGACGAAAGAATGCAGTGATCAGCAATCTCAGGCAAGAATGCAATGAAAATGCAGTGAAAATGCAGTAAATGTTAGTATCCCAGTATATTACCGTAGGAATTGTGACTATAACAAACTCAGTGGAGTCCACATCCCGAAACAGTTCACGCACTTTTATCATCCTTTCCCTCAGCTTCTCCAACTTATCAGCCTAAATGCCAAAACCACAACATCACAAGTCCACGTAAACGTGAGAGACAGAGAGAAAGTTGGTGGAGACTAAACCAGCTGTTCATGAATTCATGGCTTACAGCATCCGGTCGCTTTTCTTCTTTCCCAAAAACAGATTTGATTGCAGATGTAGCTGAAGTTATCTTTTGTTTAAGCTGCAATAAGATACCCAGCAATTTTTTGTAGGATTGAAGAGAAATGCACACATATTAACGTTACCAACTTCCTTTTTCCTTCCCATTTTCTCCATCCAGGAATGTAAGCAGCGAGTATTCCATACCAAAATTGCTTAGGATCAATCCCAGAAAATACAAAAAAGGCTCAAAGACAGAAGATTCACGACACATAAACTTGTTTGCTTGAACAATTTAGATAACTCATCATTGATGGAAGAAAACATATGCTTATGTTTCATTATGTTAATTAGATAATTGTACCTTCAGTATCTTCCCAATGGATGCATCTAGGAAATCAGGCAACGAGAGAAGCCGCAGAGTATGACCCTGTGGTGAGACATAAGATGCAGTCAATTTAATCGGATATTTTAAGCGCCCAAAATTACTTTTTGTAGTTTTGGATGCTCACCGTTGGTGCTGTATCAAAAACTATTCGAGTAAACATGTTGTATTCTTCTGACTCAAGAAATTGTATCACCTACAAGAGGATTAATTGCAATTAAGTAAGCATGATAAACACAACTTTTAGACAAGCATCAAATGAGCAAAGCCGAGAACCCCATACTTTTGAAATCGCAATAGCTTCATCCAAACCAGGAGGAGGTGTGTCCAGTAGCTCTCCTAGTTTCAACTCTCCTAACTTGTTCATTGAGAGAATGAGCACACAAACATGTTAGAAAACATAGGATGTCTTTTTCTGCAGATACACTATTGAATATAAGGGTATGGTTCTATCTATGTAGCAAATATAATCATCAAAGTAGCAAATTTTGGAAGGGTTGCTCATGCGTTCGCTGGGTGTTCAGGGGGCTAGTGTAGCAAATGTAATCATCCAAGCAGCAGACAGTCTCATCCAATGGCAAAGTAAAAACGCTGAATTACCTGTTCAACAAGCATTCCAAGACCCATGTCTTCCATAAAATCTTTCACACCGGTTCCACCATTCTGCTTAGATGCAGTACGAAATTCTTCCCTGGCTTTCTCTGGATTCAGCTGCCAGAAATCCACAAAGCCAGTACAGCAGAAAATCAGCAAACAGAAGCCACCATCAGAAAATTTAACTGATGAACTATCTCGTATCTTGTAGAGAGAAAAAGGGGACAGGGGTTGCTACCACAGATGAAAGATTGAAGTACCTCAAGAGCAAAAAGTGGGTAATCAGGTCCCTCGACCTGTACTAGTGTGCCCCCAGTTAAATCCTGCAACAACAGCAATTACATAAAAGCCAGGCAGTCAGTCGGAGCTCAGAACAATACTTTCAAGGACTAGTCAGACAGTTCTTCTAGTAAGAAGGTTTAAACCTGAGCAAAAGAATCACTCAAGGAATGTGCTGGATCCGTTGACACGACCAAAGTAGGATGCCCACTGTTCGCAAATTTCACAGCAAGTGAGGCAGCACAGCTAGTTTTTCCTACACCTCCCTTTCCACCAAGCATGTAGTACTTCCTTTGAGTTCCAGAGACCATATCATCAAATTCAGCCACATCTTCCACTGGAGCAGCAACTGATCGCACTGAAACCAACAGTGCACACTGTGTATAAATTCGACTGTGGTATCATCACGGGATTTCACAGACGGTAATCGGCACCAATTTTCGGAATACCTGGTTGTCCACCTAAAGTATCTACTGAGGTGAATAGTAATATGCACTTATCATTATCTAGATAGTGATATCACCCACATACTGCAGCAGAAAGCGCACAGTGCTAATCCTGGACACCAATATTTCTATGAACAACCTGATAGCAAATTTTCAACGCCAACAGCTGTTCAACAGTAATTCATTCTGAACTTTAATATCCGTGAAACAAAACAGTATTGAAGATGAAGTCGTCAGCTTGTTCGCTAATTGTTTCCAATGCCTGAAAGTTCACTCCACGATAAAAAGCTATGCTATTTCCACATTATGAACAACCCAGGTCACACAGTATTCGCCAAATCGAAAACGACCAAATACCACCGCAACAATTACGACTGCGGTACAACCTCAGAATGGCGAAATGGGCATTGAATTTGAAGGGAATACCTTACCTTGGAGTAAGCTCCTGGAGGTTTTCCTCGCGGTTGAGAGAGAAATAGAGGTTGCAGTAAGAGGGTTTGGCGCCTGAAATTTGGGCGCAAAACCGAGGAAACCCACCGCCCCGGCCCTGGAGTTGGTTGCAGAGAAAACATTCCCAAGAGACGGCGAGAAGAAAGGAGAAGAAGACGAGATAATAGTTGCCGGGGCCATGTCAAATCGCCGGTCAGTCAATTTAGTATCACTGAAGTTTGTTTCTTCGCAGTCCTTCAGAGGATAGATGAACACACCAGGCGGCAGGCTCCAAAAAGACGTGTCTTCCCTGCTTTTGTTCGTTCGTTCGGACGAGTGTCTTTCTCCTACCGAAGAGTTGCTTTCCTTCTACTGACCAGATTTTGCCAATTTATAGTCCCGTTGAAAAAGCCTAAATTGCCAGATTAGTCACTGGATTCATAAATAGATTCTAAATTTGTTGCCAACACATCTTTCGTATGATCATTGATCATTCTTAAGATAAACAATTATATCTTTCACTAATTTGTTGTCAAATTTATTTCCAAAAGAGTATAGATGAAAGAAAAATCTTTCCAAACATCTGTAATAAAAAAGTTCCTTTTTTCCCCACAACATGAACAACTCTGTAATACCAATGCATATTCAGCACCTACCCACAAAACAAAAATGCTCTCATTTCACAGCTTACATTACTACTATTCTTTGAACTGCTGTTTTTACAATGGCGTCTCAGAAAGTTTCTGTGTGTTTTCTTTCTCGTCTTTTTTGCAATCGCCAGTCTTGTCCTCCACAGAGATCTTCTTCCCAGCTAAATCCTCAAGAGTTAGACTGAGAGTGTCAGCAGAGCCCTTCTTCACTTCCTCACCGCGAGCAGCCAGGAACTCCTCCACGCTTCCAGGCTCTCCAAACCACCCAAGACGATCCGCAATGAGGTGAAGGTTGTCGCACCCTCCACATCGCGCCACCACCACGCCTTTCTCGTACGACTCCCTAGAAAGCGTCTTGAATGATCTCGTCTCGCAGACACTGCAAGTGAACATCATGGCTAGATCGTGCCTTGCCGACACCTTCAAGTTGGACGTAGCAGACACTTCTGGCTGATCGGAAGCTGCTTCGCTCAAAATTTTCAGCCCTCCGGTGGGAGGTGTACTATTTGAGTTGATTTGTAGATGTGAAGAAGCTGTAACATCTGATGAAGGATCATCCTTGGAGTGACTGTCTATGCTGCTTTGTGTTTGAAACCGTCTTCGACAGTAGTCACTCCTGGTGAATATTGAACCAGCAGAGGGAAGAAGCTGACCACCACCCTCTGTAAAAAAAAGCAAGAAAGGAATATAAACACGACGAGGATGAAGCCAAGAAGCTATTAAGTAACAACCATATGCATGATCAGTAAAACGCTCCACAACTTCGATCAATCACATTACATTTCAGGGTCTTATGTTCATAGATCAAATTTCCAGAATGGAAGAGGGTGACAAGACTCAAAAAGTGATTAAGCATCCATGCATCGATGTTGCAGTAAAATTTAATGAAGCAAGTAGGAAACATGAAGGAAGAGTCGCCTCAATATAGCAAGAAAACAAGGCAGAAACAACATAAATGGCAGAATGGATGTCCTGAAACTGTCACTACACTGGAATAACCGATAAGCAAGATATAATCTATGAAGTTTTGATCTTTTTTACTTGGCCAGAAAGGGCAACTAAATAGAGCCAAACCCAGCAAGGATTTACATTTTCCGGGAAGCAAAGGCCTCAGCTGCTTGACCAGAATGGAAGAACCCTAGCCCCTGGCTTAAATCGATTGTTCAGCCTAATACTAATGTCAGATATTCAATTCATCTGAAATTTCTTGAAGATAGGATACAAGCGAGGTAGAAACTAGGAGACCGACAATCGAGTCGATTGATTGCTCGGGAAATATAGGAAACCGCCATTCTTATTCACGGATGAGAGAGCTAACCTCGGCCGGGGAGAAAGGCGCCGCCGCTGCTGGGAGAACGACCATGGGAAAGGGCAGAAAGGAGCCGCCCCATCTTCAACAAGTTTCGGGAAGCCGCCATTCGTTGCGAGTTGGGGAAGTATTCTCTTCTGTCGCCGTCGACCAGAGCTCTGTGACTGTGGCGCAGGGCTGGGAGGAAGCATTACAACAAAATTTACAAGCGAGAGTGGAGGTTGCAAAATTGGAGTTGGTCCACCCAAACCAAACGTGGGCTATAAGTTTTCCAGGGGTAAGCCAACGGTTTTGGGCTTTTAGTATATCTGCTCGGCCCAAATATAACACCTAATTACCTTTCTCAAAATACCACATGATATTTTACTCACATCGCATATCGACAATGTATCGTTTTCGGCAATTTCTCATGTTTCGATTTCGATTTCAATTTTGAGACCCCAGGTAGTTTTTCAGTTTTGGCATTTCAACCTAAAACTCAAATTGTTCTGCATTTTAATCAAAACGTTAGAAGCACAAAGTGTTTTGGGTTCTCAAAACCAAAACGCGATATATTGCCAAAAAAGATATATTGTCGATGTGACTGTGTGCATCAAATATCATGATATTTCGGTGATATTTTCCTTCCCTGCTATATATTGTCTTAAATATAAGATTGTCAACCTACGAATCGATCTGGATCCGATGAGAAAACGGACACTACATACCCAATGGTCGACCAACAACAAGGAAAACGGACGCCACATACCCAATACAGACCAAAAGGCTGAGAGCATACATTTCACACTTATACATACCTCATTTCATTGACTTGTAGATCCAGCAACATGCTTCTTCTGTAAATAAAAAAACCATATCATCATACTTGGAAGTAGTCGCTCATCCAATATTTTATTTGACCAATACGACACAATTGTATTGTTCTGGTTACAGAATGTCAAACCATTACATTCTGGGATTCCTCTCCTTGTCATCTTATCGCTTTCTCAATCAGAAAATGATCCGCCAATTAGGCAATTAATCAAATCTAGACAGCCGGCTAGAAGCATGAAGTGAACATCAACTGGTTGAACACTAAAAACAAACAGATGAAGACAGAAGGGCAATGCCAAGGCGTAGCCTAATTTGACCCTTCTTCTTCACCTGATAAATATCTAATTCAGCCAATGTGACTGAAACTAAGCAACTGAACCAGTAGATCTCCTCCAAATCTCTGCATATTTCTAACAATGCAGACAATGCATACAGGGAAATTTGTTGTGAAGATTCTATGCAGGAGATTCTCATTGTTCTTCCGAGAGTAAAGTGTATTTGTGAAATACAAGTCGAAAGAAGATAAACTGCCTCCTATGCAGTTGCATTCCTCCATTAAAGAACAAAATTTTGCAATCTCAAACTAAGTTCTGGTTAACTTGAGTCACTAATATGACCAGTTTTGCAATGTGTGGTATAGGTATTCTCTATTCTATTGTATCTCTAATCTATATAACTGGATTGTAAACAACTAGCATCACCTGGGAGCCAATGAAGACGAGAAATCAACTGCCAAGCAGATCCTCTCAGCCCAATTCTTTGATTCCAGGTACAACTTAGACACCTTGACAGCAACCTTCTCCATATCCGGCCGCTTCTCGGGATCCTCCTCCACGCATTCCAACGCCATCGACACCATCTTCTCCGCCACATCCACCGGATATGAATCCTTCAACCTCCTATCAACCCATTTCCTCACCCCAGCACCACCACCTGCAACCGCCTGTCTAGCCATCTCAATGACACTGATTCTCCTAACCCCTTCACCTCCTTCATCAAACTCATACCTCAACGCCTCCAAACCAGACAGCAGCTCCAGGATCACAACTCCAAAGGCATAAACATCACATTTCTGTGTCAAGGCTCCCTTGGATTGAAACTCAGGCGCCATGTATCCCCTGGTTCCTTCTATTTTCGACCTCTTAATTCCTGACATCCTGCTACTTGATTTCTTCTTGAGCTCGCGTTCAGAATGATCCATTTCCCCGCACAACTCCGCGGTCCCAAAATGACAGATTCTCGCATTCAGGGTCGCCTCAGTGACCAAAATGCTCGAACTCTTCACATGATTATGCACAAAATTCGTGTTCAAACCTGAGCAATGGTGAATAGGGATGGCAATTTACCCACCCATGGGTATTTTTGCCCAAACCCAATTATATCCATTTTATATGGGTTGGGTATGGATTTATTCTATATGGATTTGGATAATGTTTGGGTAGGTGGAGTTGGGTTTGGATTTTATTTTTGGGTATGGGTTGGGCTTGGGTACCCATCTCCTTGGACTCACCTGTATATGTTTTTTTTATTAGGTGTTAAAATGTAAAGAAAAATTTTTAATGTACTAAAATATAATTTTCCACATATGATGTTGAACCTATTTGTATCTTCTTAAAAACTTCAGGTACTAAAATGTAACTTTGGCTGTCAACATTCAACAACCATCGTGTTCCAGCTGCTTCGCCGGTGCCGAATGCTTCCGACTGACAGGCGAGGATGATGAATGATGATGCCGGACGCCGGTGCTCTCCGGGAAAAGCTGGTGGGTGGTGGCGATTTCACCATCGAGCTCGCTACCCAAATCCATCATCGCCGTGCAGCAGAGCATGTCGACGACGAACCCGGCGAGTCGTGCGACGTCAGATCCGACTAATTCCTTGATGTGGCGCTTCGAGCCCTCGAGGATGGTGGGCAGGAATTAGGCTGGATCGGTGTCCGGCGGCGGTTTCACGATGGGGAGGATGACGAATCGGACTCGAGAGTCGGCGGCGCCGGCGGCGGTGAGATTGGTGTTGTTGCCGGATGTCACTACGAGGAACTTTGCGTCTGGGATTATATGTCTGTACAACACCCAATGCCACCCATTGCGGCTTATTGCCCTCTCCACTGCCACTATCTCCATCTGCTGCAGCTCAGGCAGTAGACCACTCCTTCCACGGCGACGGACGGTTTCCTCTGTTGGGCGGCGGCGGCGGCCATTAGTGGGAGGGTGGCGCAGAGGAGCAGGAGAAGCAGATTGTGGATTCAAGACTTACCCACCAGCATATCTGAAGCCCTGATGCAATGGGGATTGGGGAACAACCTTCTAATTGGAGCCAACTTCGCCTCTGCTGGTTCTGCTTTTGATGACAAAGCTGCTGCTCCTGTTATTCGAAGTCCACACATCAGAGGTAATCGCCACCCTACTGCTGACTTTTTCTAACTCATGCATTACATTCATCTTTGCCTTTTTGAATATCTTTAAAATATCACTCTTGATTGTATTTCTACAAACCATTTGAAACTAGGGGTGTTTGGGTATACCCGTACCCGTCCCGTTTTTAAGGGGTTACGGGTACCCATATTACCCGCAATATTTTAAACGGATGGGACTTGGAATTGTACTGTCCTAATATGGGTACCCGCGGGTTACCCGCTAATACCCGTTTGGGTAATATGGGTACCCGTTCTACCCATTCAAAGTACAAAGACAGATTTATTAAATCAGCCCAGGCCCAGCCCAATTCAAAAATAATTTTCGGCCCTTACCCACGACTGGTCTGGACGCGCAGAGAGTTGACTTGAGAGTGGACGCGCAGCCGGCAGCCCTAACAGCTTCTGGACAGTGGACGCGAATACGCGATCTAGCTTGTCTCCTCTGGACGACTCACGACTGGTCTGGACGGCCGCGCAGCTTCTCTGTTCTGGGAGGTCGGAGCCCGGAGGAGTCGTCTTCGGGAGTGAGAAGCGGACTCCTTGGCTCCTTCATTCACCGCCGCCGCCGCCTCTGTGAGCTCTCCCTCTCAGTTCCTCATCCTCTCCTTTGAGCAGCCGCCGCCTCCATTCCACTCAGCGACAGCGAGGCTTAGACGAGCAGCGGAGCTCCAGCAGCAGCAGGCTTCCTTCTCACCCGGCGGCCAGCAGCAGCAGCGAGGTGACCTTCGGCTGTTTACATTTTACAATTTGATTTAATACAGTACACAGTGAAGAACTTCTGTTTACAATTTGATTAAAATGTTTAGAAGTTCTAAACATTTGAATCCCTACAGTACACAGTGACACAATTCAGTAATTCACTATAATTTGAATCCCTAGATCCATGTTAGGGATCATGGATCAGCAGCGAGGTGAATTGATTAAAATGTTGGCCGTGGCCGAAGTGAACTTCTGTTTACAATTTGATTAAAATGTTGTCTGAAGCTGAGTATTTGTATAACCATCTGTTTATCTCGGTAAATCATACGTAGTTTCTAAATTTAGACTGCAATTAATATCATTCAAAGTGAAGAACTTCTTCTGTTTCATTACTTTTCTTCTATGTTCATCTTCTATTTAATTGTTTGAGATTAAATGTGTACAGAAGGTTATTCGTTATTAGTGTCTATCTTCGTCCTGTTACTACATTGGTTTCGTTGTTTATGAATCTTGAATTTTGTATTTTGTTTGGCTGGACATTCGGCAGTGGGAAAATGCAGTGGGGAAATGGATGTTTTGGATGTTTGGATGCTTTGGGATGTTTGGTTGGATTTTGTCTTTTGTTTGTCTTTGGTTCGCTGTTATGCAGTGGGAAAATGATGTTTGGCTGGATTTGTCTTTTGTTTGTCTTTGGTTCGCTGTTATGCAGTGGGAAAATGGATGCTTTGGGATGCAGCAGTGGGAAAATGTGATGTCATTTAAATTTTAAACTTTGGGTATTTTATGGGTAGTAGGGCTACAATAATAATATGTATATACTTGAACTGAATATCCAGCTCCTTGAATAAATACCCCTTCCTCATCATTCCATTGCTAATCCTTGCTCACAGTTTTGCTATGGCGTGCCGGGGCAGAACGAAATTGGACCTAGAAGGAAGCTTTAGATCATCCCATTCTTCATCATCCATTCTTGAGAAGAACTGCTCAACCATCCCCTCACTGATGAGCTCCAATCTAGCAGGTTCCCACTAATGTTTTTAGACAAGAAACAAACCAAAGAGGATTCAGAACTGGAGTAACTTTGAGCATGAACATAGAAATTATGCATTCATGGAGGATATGGAGATAGAGGTGGGCATAGTGTCATTTCCTTTACCTTTGGGTTCCTGTCCTTGTCCAACAGTATGGCCCTGCAACCCTGCATTCAAATGCCAAAAGTGAGTGAGCAAAGTGGGGAGAGATAGAATTGGTCAGAGAGATGCAAATGCTATTGAGTTCAGCTGGGAACCTCAAAGAAGTCCTTGCTTAGCTTTCCTTCCATAAAATGACAGACCATTCGAAACTCGCGAGTTAGGCATTGACCAACACCTTGAATCCTTCCTTCTCGAATCTGCAATTGCAGTAAAATCAGCGTACAGAGTATTGATAGCCTTTTCTTCTCCTGGGTCTCAAAGTGATAGCCCAAGTAAAATACTTACTGATCGGAGTGAAATTTTAAGACTTGTTGGAGAAGCCTTCTTCAGTGACTGAATAGTGTTATTAATCCAATCATCTGCCTTACCCATGGATTCCCTTTCCTACATATTACGAGTCATCATTAACTAGTTAGTCAATGGCTCAATGCATATAGCTAGGCACAAGTCCCACTGACAAGTGGAGATGAATTAACTTACAAGCGCAGACAGGATATCTTCAACTGTTTTCCGGGAGAAACATCTATCGATGACATCTAAACTGCAGACACACATTAGGACATGAGGAGGGAGAAGAACATTGTTCAATCATGTTTTAAGAAGTTTGCATCAATCCTCCATTTCTGTTACACTAATTTAGAGGTCAAATAATAACCAGCATAAGCTCACATCCCAACTTCCAACTTATTGACCTCAAAACAAGAACCAAGAGATTGTTTCTGGAATACATGTCATGAAATATGATATAGGCACAGATGATCCAAATAAAGGGACTAAACTCATGATGCTCTCCTCTTATAAAATGAAACAAGCTGTCAGACACCTGAAGTGACTAGAGTGAGGGGAAAGAACTGACCGTTTATAAGCACTTTGGTCTTTCAAGTATGGTTGCTGAGAATAGCAGTCAATAATTGCAGAAATGATGTTTGAATCACTTGAATCTACCTTGTATAGAGCTTCTTCCAGTAGACTCAATTTCTGCCAGCATATAGACAACTCATGATGTTTACTCGAACAGCTATGAAGACAAAATGGAATCAATTTTATGTTCCTATCGCATGAAACGAGTAAAGATTGACGAATCTATTACAAATACGATTTCTTTTCTAAAACATTTCATTAAGAGCCTTCAGCTTTCCTGTATTCCGAATTTATTTAGACTCCTATATGAATATCATACCGTCGCAGGGACAAAATGAGTTGCAAGGCCGCATGCAAGCATTTCAGCACCATCCAACCTTGCCCCAGTAAGTCCAACGTATTCTCCTATCAATACAAAATTTCAGGGAGAATATATATGAGGAAGGTTTATTGTAAAATCCACACCATCAATATTTTGTTTGGAAAACTCTTAATAATAAATACATGTTCAATGCATTTTGTGGGGTGGAAGTTAATATTTTAAAATCACAATTGGCTCAATAAACAACCAGGCCTAATGCAAATAGATAAAATACATAATCCATGAATCTCGAGTATTTCTGCAATGCGAGGGCTGCCAAAAAAAATGAAGAATTCAAATTATTTTACCAAAGAATCCTGGGAGCCTGGACAAGAAATAGGAGGCACCAATATCAGGGAAGAGACCTAAAGCCGTTTCAGGCATAGCAAATACCTGAAAATATTCAATATTAGTCTTCTCGTGTAGACATTCTTCAGACACTACACAAGGGATGTCATGTCAAATCATGAGGATGATAATATATTCTGAAATTCTGTTTCTTTAAGAATGCTGCACCCTGAAATCCAAGTTTTATCTTCTACAACTAAAACATAAATGAAAGAGCATGCAAAAGTTATCCCAATCAGTTGCATGACAATCAAGGACAAACCCAAGCTAAAACGAAAATACATTACCGAAGTTTCAGTTGCTACGCGGAATCTTCCATGCATAGAAACACCATTTCCTCCTCCCATGACAATTCCATTAAGGATAGAAACCTTCAAGTTAACAACAAAACATTAGAAATGGCATTCGAATAACTAAAAACTGAAAGAGAAGTGCATTACCTGGGGTTTGGTGTATGTCGCGATCACATAGTTCAAGGTGAATTCCTTCGTGAAAAATTGGGCACCTGATTTCCAGTTAGCTGAGACAAACACATGGACAGAACAACTCTCATCTTCATCTACTAAACTGTAAGTATTATCATCGCAAACAGGAAATGAAACGAAATTTAACCTTTGCGAATATCATGAACAACGGCAGCCACATCACCTCCTGCACAAAACGCTCTTCCATTTCCCTGGGGATAAAGATACAGTCCTAGAAACATTTAGTCATACTTCAAGTGGGATACATTTATGAGATTTATGACTTTCAACAATAGTAGTCACTGCACACTGGGAATACTGAAGCATTGTGTGACTGGACGCTCTCCTAACTATTTTGGAGATGAGAAAAATAGGAGTGCAAAAATTGAACAGGAAAGTACCTTAAGGATAATAAGTTTCACATTCGGATCTGCCTCGTAAGCAACGAAAAGATCTAGAAGCCGAGAAATCTAACACAGATGTAAACACAATTAGTATTTCTGAACTTTGCTTCTGAAATATTCTTACACCCTATTGCAAGGATGTCCAAAATCTGAGAAGTCTGATGGGGAAGAAAGGGAACATACCATCGGGTACGAGAGGGCATTCAACTGTTTAGGCCTATTTAATACCAATATTCTTGTGAGCGACTTCTCTTCTACCAGAACCTGTGAAATATCAGCCAAGCACACAAAGCAGTCTTAAACCTATGAGTGATGCATAATCAGTCAGTTTAGGACAGGTACACCATGGAAACTGACATCTGGTGCAGCATGTCAAGAGAGCATTACTAGCTGCTCGCAGAAAGAATAAACTCACACCATTTAACTAACAACCTGTCCTCGAATATTACTTTTCCATTGCATGTCAGGCCATATTAAGTGAACAAAGTACTAAACTTGAACATCTTAAACTTCCCAAAAAGAAAGGTGTGTCTGTAGCAACCTGATCATTGTAGGCCATGACAGAGTTCTGAGATGCCATCGATACTTTATCTTATGTCTGCTCGGAGTTCAAGTTCTCTTAAGAGTTACTGGTGCTGCTGAGCAGAGAAGCCCTGAAACAGTCGATAGATTCATTAACTTGACTCCTCAAACTTCTATGGTTCAAATGTGTGGTGGCAAAATGACCGAGCTAGAATCAACAGAAATACACATGAAGAAAAATGCCATCGATACTCTATCAACAATTTCGATGCAGTTCCCTAAGCCACAGAATCATGAGGCCCCAAACGTTCATTGCTACTTTTGGAAGAAGCCCACTCCATAGATAATCGATGGTACATTACCCCCATCCTAAAGTTGCAATTTTGCAGAACATAGCCCTGAAACCATTTCAATCAGACGAAAGGAGCTGATAAAATTGAAGGAGAAGGTTCAGTTACGGCCGCAGACGACGGCGCGGACAGAACAAAACCCAAAAAGCTCTCTCTGCCGGGACAATTTAATTTGCCGCGTGGCCAAATGCCGTAGAGAACGAAGGGATAAAATGATAAGACGGCGAAGCGCGTCAGCCTCCGGCGGTGATCTTGTCTATTGGAACTCCGTACGTTGGCCTACTGAAATGTCGTTGTTGCCCCCCTAAGCGTATCACGTTTAACACACACCGCCACCTACCAAATAATGACACTGTTGACTGTAACGGTCAACTGCATCCATTAAAAAGATTACTTTGAGAAGTCGGTGAGATGGAGCATTATGTTTTAGTAGTTATCTTCATTTGGTTTGATAGTGTTTGCTTTATGCCTTGATAGTTTTTTTGTATTTGTTTTGGTAGTTTTTGTATTGATTTATTTATGCAATAATATTGTTTTGATTTCATAGTAGTAGTGGTATTTGTTTGACTTTTGTAATGATATAGATTGTTTATATTGGTAGTTTTCGTGTAATGGTATAGATTTAATTCTTCAATGGTATTGATGTTTTTCAAAATGGTAGTGGTTGTCTAATGGATTGGTAGTGATTTCGTGTTTTTTTCTTTTGCATAAAGATTGAAAAAAATATGAAAAGGAGATCTGGCTGGAGATACGAGAAGTGAGAGAAAGAGAAAGAATTGTAATTAATAGATTTTTGTAACTACCTAAAATGAAATTTATTAAAATAAATTAATATAATTTATTTTTTCATACCCAATTTACCCTTAGTAACCACGGTGATTACTACTTTTGTAGTATTCACCGTAACCGCTCCCGTCCTTGATCGAATTGAGTTTTGATGTATCATTTACATTGATTAATTTATAATTATATTTAAAATATTTACCCGACCCGTTGTAGATGAATTTTATTTTATGTTGATCAATTTTTTCATGTTTTAAAATAATTTGAAGTTTTCTAAAATAACTAATTCATTATTTTAAAGTAATCTTTATGCTATTTGTTGATTATAAATTTAGCAATAATTAATTAATATGTAATTTTTTTAAGTCCGTGGAGAATAGGATCAATAGACTTCATTATCGGTGGAGGATAGCCTCCGGCAAAATCCGTGATCCGTACCCTACAAAATCGAAAGAAAATGACATTACGGAAAAATCACCCGAAATCTGTGATGGTACTCCTTTGGAATCTGCCAAAAATGGACCCGGAAGAAATCCGCCCAAATCCGTGTTTAACGGACTTAATCATCGTTGAAGAATAGCCTCAGGCCGAACCCATAATCCGTAGCCTTCAAATTCCAAGAAAAATGGCATTTCGAAAAATCTAGCCCAAATATTTACGAAAATGCCATCCCAAAATCAATTGGCCCAATTCGGTGCTTAATGGACTTAATCATCGGTGGAGAATAGGATCAATAGACTTCATTATCGGTGGAGGATAGCCTCCGGCTGAATCCGTGATGCGTACCCTCCAAAATCGAAAGAAAATGACATTTCGGAAAAATCGCCCGAAATCTGTGATGACACCCCTTTGGAATCTGCCAAAAATGGACCCGGAAGAAATCCGCCCAAATCCCTGTTTAACGGACTTAATCATCGTTGAACAATAGCCTCAGGCCGAATCCGTGATCCGTAGACTTCAAATTCCAAGAAAAATGGCCTTTCCAAAAATCTAGCCCAAATATTTAAGAAAATGCCATCCCAAAATCAATTGCCCCAATTCGGTGCTTAATGGACTTAATCATCGGTGGATAATAGGATCAATAGACTTCATTATCGGTGGAGGATAGCCTCCGGCTGAATCCGTGATCCGTACCCTCCAAAATCGAAAGAAAATGACATTTCGGAAAAATCGCCCGAAATCTGTGATGGTACCCCTTTGGAATCTGCCAAAAATGGACCCGGAAGAAATCCGCCCAAATCCCTGTTTAACGGACTTAATCATCGTTGAAGAATAGACTCAGGCCGAATCCGTGATCCGTAGCCTTCAAATTCCAAGAAAAATGGCCTTTCCAAAAATCTAGCCCAAATATTTACGAAAATGCCATCCCAAAATCAATTGCCCCAATTCGGTGCTTAATGGACTTAATCATCGGTGGAGAATAGGATCAATAGACTTCATTATCGATGGAGGATAGCCTCCGGCTGAATCCGTGATCCGTACCCTCCAAAATCGAAAGAAAATGACATTTCGGAAAAAAATCGCCCGAAATCTGTGATGGTACCACTTTGGAATCTCCCAAAAATGGACCCGGAAGAAATCCGCCCAAATCCCTGTTTAACGGACTTAATCATCGTTGAAGAATAGCCTCAGGCCGAATTCGTGATCGGTAGCCTTCAAATTCCAAGAAAAATGGCCTTTCCAAAAATCTAGCCCAAATATTTACGTAAATGCCATCCCAAAATCAATTGCCCCAATTCGGTGCTTAATGGACTTAATCATCGGTGGGGAATGGGATCAATAGACTTCATTATCGGTGGAGGATAGCCTCCGGCTGAATCCGTGATCCGTACCCTCCAAAATCGAAAGAAAATGACATTTCGGAAAAATCGCCCGAAATCTGTGATGGTACAACTTTGGAATCTGACAAAAACGGACCCGGAAGAAATCCGTCCAAATCCCTGTTTAACGGACTTAATCATCGTTGAAGAATAGTCTCAGGCGGAATTCGTGATCCGTAGCCTTCAAATTCCAAGAAAAATGGCCTTTCCAAAAATCTAGCCGAAATATTTACGAAAATGCCATCCAAAAATCAATTGCCCCAATTCGGTGCTTAATGGACTTAATCATCGGTGGAGAATGGGATCAATAGACTTCATTATCGGTGGAGGATAGCCTCCGGCTGAATCCGTGATCCAAAATCGAAAGAAAATGACATTTCGGAAAAATCGCCCGAAATCTGTGATGGTACCACTTTGGAATCTGCCAAAAATGGACCCGGAAGAAATCCGTCCAAATCCCTGTTTAACGGACTTAATCATCGTTGAAGAATAGCCTCAGGCTGAATTCGTGATCCGTAGCCTTCAAATTCCAAGAAAAATGGTCTTTCCAAAAATGTAGCCCAAATATTTACGAAAATGCCATCCCAAAATCAATTGCCCCAATTAGGTGCTTAATGGACTTAATCATCGGTGGAGAATGGGATCAATAGACTTCATTATCGGTGGAGGATAGCCTCCGGCTGAATCCGTGATCCGTACCCTCCAAAATCGAAAGAAAATGACATTTCGGAAAAATCGCCCGAAATCTGTGATGGTACCACTTTGGAATCTGCCAAAAATGGACCCGGAAGAAATCCGCCCAAATCCCTGTTTAACGGACTTAATCATCGTTGAAGAATAGACTCAGGCCGAATCCGTGATCCGTAGCCTTCAAATTCCAAGAAAAATGGCCTTTCCAAAAATCTAGCCCAAATATTTACGAAAATGCCATCCCAAAATCAATTGCCCCAATTAGGTGCTTAATGGACTTAATCATCGGTGGAGAATGGGATCAATAGACTTCATTATCGGTGGAGGATAGCCTCCGGCTGAATCCGTGATCCGTACCCTCCAAAATCGAAAGAAAATGACATTTCGGAAAAATCGCCCGAAATCTGTGATGGTACCCCTTTGGAATCTGCCAAAAATGGACCCGGAAGAAATCCGCCCAAATCCCTGTTTAACGGACTTAATCATCGTTGAAGAATAGACTCAGGGCGAATCCGTGATCTGTAGCCTTCAAATTCCAAGAAAAATGGCCTTTCCAA